GCAACTATTTAGTTGTGAATTCACTACTACCTTGTTGAATTGTGATTTCATTTCGCATGACATATTTCCTATAGCTGTCAGATTTGATGTTGCCACATAACTAACATAAATACAACGAAACGATATCGATTTGTATTCGATTAGTAATTTAATGAAAAAATAATAATATTTGAGTTTCGCTTTCAGTTCTACACGCTTTTTAAAATATATTTTCTTTTATTTTTTTTAAATTATGTTTTAAACGTATTTTTAAGAACAGTTAAAATGTGGAGTAGCGTATTGTTATGCTCTAAACAGTTCATGGTAAATCAGCTAAAAATTCACTTGTTTAATTATCATAACATGATTCCATTTTAAATGTATTGTTAAAACAGATAACAATAACAGTTAAATTGTGCAGTAGCATTTTATTGTACTCTAAAGAATTCATAGTAAATCAGCTAGTAATTCGCTTGTTTAATTATCATAACATCATAATATCCATAGCGATTCGATTATTATTCGATTAATAATTTCATAAAAAAGAGAATAATCTTGGAGGTGTTTTAACTTCTGTTCGCTTTTTAAAATGTATCTTCCTTTTTTATTTAAATTCTATTTTAAGTGTATTTTTAAGAACAGTTAATTGTGCAGTAGTGTTTTATGAAGCTCTAAAAAATTCATGGTATATCAGCTAGAAATTCACTTGTTTAATTATCGTAACATGATTTCATTTTAAATGTATTGTTAAGAAAAGATAAGAATAACAGTTATATTGTGCAGTAGCGTTATGTTATACTGCATAGAATTCATTGTAAATCAGCTATTAAATCGCTTATTTAATTATCATAACTACAGATGTGAAGGCGGTTGTTAACGTTTTCAACCAAGCCGATAACAACGGTTGTTTTTGTCTTGAAATTGATAAAAATTGTGCAGTTGCGTTTTGTTAAGCTTTAACCTTTTGAGCGCTACGCCAAAAACGCATTACCGTGTCCTGTACGCCAAAGCGCCAAAACAAAATAGTGTTGCCAAGAGTTGATATATCGATAACGTGAAATAACTTGTTTTTGTTGGTTTTTTATGCTATAAATGACTCTTAATAAACTGTATGTTTTATTTAATCTTGTGCCGTCTTCCACTTTTTTTATATATGTACTTTGTACATATAAACATAAATAAAAAACAAACAATAACAATAAAATAGTAGTAAACATTAGCACTATTCTCCATCCTAATGACGACACTGTCGCGACTGGACGACAACGGCGTAGCTGACCTTCCCTTTTGAAACATTCTTAGAATGTTGTGTATCGATTTCAAAATCGATCTAACCGAAATATACAGACATCGATTCATAATATTTTATGTGTCGGGGAAAGCGTAGGCCAAGTGACGCACAGAAGAAAAGTCTTACACTCTTATGACAATGGGGATTTGATATGATGCTGATGCTGCTAGATGATTTTGAGACTGAGAAAGAAAATGGCACAACACAAAATGAAAAATTGCTCTTCACACCCTAAGTAAAAAAAACATTAATTGTAATTTTGTATTATTATTAAAAAAGGTACATAATTATTCATTAATCAACAATTGTATATAATTATTCGCACTAGGTAAATCAGCCTTATAATACTAAAATCTTGGTCATGGAATAAATAAACATATTTGTTCACCAATCAATCAAAAATTCAATTCATCAATCAAAAATCAAAATTCATCATCATCGACGCTTTCCAAAATCCGAATGAGTTCTGAGGAATCGTTCATGTTGCATTGCTCTACTTTTCTCGGTAATCACTTATGACGTCATCAGGGTGTCGTCTATCCTTGATCACGGTGCCCAGTGAACTGATTTTCGATGACGCGCTAAAGATGCGCTAGAGTGGAGATATTAGATTTATTATGCGAAGATAATCTGATAACATTTTTTTATTCATGTAGCTAATTATAGTTTTATGTTTATAACCTTTAATTTTATTCAAATATCAATAATAATAGAAAAAAAAACACCATTGAGCTGAATTTTGGATAGTTTTCAAGAAATCTATGCCTCCCGCGTTTGACACTAGCGGTCAACCATAGACGACTTTGGCGTGCTGGACATAGTATTTGCTTAGATAAAAATCCATTTTTATTAGTTCAATGTTTCTTAGTACTTGTGGCTCTAGAAGATTTGTTTTTTATACTCACATGTTGCTGGGTTATTCCTATTTTGAGGAGTGTAGAATTAAAATACCTGTAATAATTTTCCAATATCTATATTTCATATTTTTCGGAGCCGGGTTTTTTGTCAACTATAGACGTCGTTGGCGCTCAGGGCCCGCAGGTGTTGGTCAAGTATAGGCGACTTTGCCGCTCAAAAGGTTAAAGGATTCATGGTAAATCAGCTGGAAACTAACTTGTTTCGTTATCATAACATGATTCTATTTTAAATGTGTTGTTATAAACAGATAAGAATAACTTAACCGATCTTCTTTAAAAACAGATAAGAATAACAGTTCTTATCTGTTTTCAAAGAAGATCGGTTAAGATTAACAGTTAAATTGTGCCGTAGCATTTGTTACTCTCTAAAGAATTCATTAGAAATCAGCTAGTAATTCGCTTGTTTAATTATCGTAACATCATAATTATTTAAAAATTATATTAGCACTGTAATGATGACACCGTAAATAATCGATCGAAAAAGAGAATCGATTTTTTAAATGTGTTTTGTGATTGGTAACACTTTTTTTTTATTCACAAACTAATAACATAATGATTTACCTAATTTTTATTATTATGTTTCCGGTACTTTTAATTTGTGCAAAAATATTCCCATTGTTTGAGGATAAATGAATACCGCGATTAATAACCATAAATAAAGATATAATTTTTTAACAAATTCACATTGTTGGGCGTTCCATGGCAGAAAATGGGCGTCCCCCTTTCAATGTAATGCATCATGAATAAAATACACACCGGACTAGCCTGTATGAGCAGATTCTTTTGCCTTTAAATAAAAAAAACATCAACAACAACAACATTTATTTTCTCAAGTGTCAACTGTCAAGCTGTAGTATAAATTTGAAGTTTGACGGTAATATTTCTAAGCGTTTCCAAATATTATTTTGTAATTTACGATTTTAATACTGGGAGTATGGATTCAGACGATGAAATTGAAGAATCATCGACATGGAAAGGAATACCTGGTACTATAATTCTTATAAATGCTCTAGAAGATTCAAGTGTAATTTCCGTTGCACAAGAAGCCTCATGCTGTTTAATCAGACAATATTTAAGATCGTCGAGCTCTCATATTATCGGCGTTACCGTTTATGGAACAGAACAATCCAAATCTGTTTTTAATACGAGCAATGTTGTGGATATATTCCCTCTGAATGTGCCAACTTTGGATGGTTATAAAAAAGTACGTAAGGCAAACATAGAATCGTACGGGAAAGCAAAAGAATTAATACTTTCGGAAGCCTTATGGCATTGCAGCAAAATATTTAAAAATTGTAATAAGACATTGTCATCAAAGACTGTTATTATTTTAACTCAGCTAAATAACCCTCCTATTGAGGCTGATAGAGAAAAAACCCTGAAAAGAGTTATTGATTTAGCAGAGTCTTATGCAGAAATAAAATGTATAAATATTTCAATGAATAATTATCAAATCAATCCATTTTATCAAAAATTTTTGATTGAAGCAAATAAATCAAAGGATTATATTTTGCCGAAAGCTGTTTGGGATAGCAAAGTTATAGAAACATTAATGTACACACATTCTCATCGCCATTTAGCTGTAGCAAAGTTGTGTTTTGAAATTGGTAACGGTTTATCTATAGGAGTAGGGGTTTACAGTCTTTTAAAAAGTTCCAGTCAATCTAATCATAAGACATCAAAACTAGATAAAGAGACCAACGAAATTGTCGAAAGTGTGACAAAGACAACCAAAGTAGCAGTAGGGTCTGGCAACTTATTTCCTGAAGATGACAATGATATTAAGGAGTTTAAAGAGGTCCCATTATTAAAATCAGAACTGTTATTCTATCAAGAGTATGGAGGTGAGAGAATACAGTTTACTGAAAAAGAAAAGAAAGCAATAGAAAATCCATTTGGACCTCCCATGATTAAATTATTGGGCTTTAAGCCAGCCAGAATATTGTGTAAAGAGAAGTGGTTTTTGAAAACAAGTTACTTTATATTCCCAAGTGAAAGTGTTATTGAAGGTTCAACAATTGCGTTTAAAGCTTTACATAAAGCTTGTATTGAGATGGATACTGTAGCTATATGTATATTGTGTACAAGAGTCAATGCGAGACCCACTATTGTTGCACTTGTCCCATGCACTAACCCTTTAGACCTTGATATTGAAATTGGATTTGATGTCATTCATATACCATTTATAGAAAATGTGAGAGACATACCAACTTTTGACAACACTGATCAAAACATAGTAGTTGAAAATGCACATAAAGTTTTAATGAAGGACATTTTGACAAGCCTACAATTTGATTACAAAGCTGATATGTTTGAAAACCCTAAATTACAGTCTGAATATAGGGCACTTGAAGCAAAATCCTTACAAGAAGAAAATATGGAACCATTTGTTGATACAACAAAACCAAATCCTGAAAAATTTGAAGATATCAGGGATGAGTTATTTGAGGAACTGTTTGGACCTTTTGGAGTATTATCAACAAAAAGATCAAAAAATGAAAATGAGTCTTGTAATAATACCAAGAAAGTAAAATTAGAAGATATTAATGAGGATGAATTACAAGAAAAGATAATCAATAAAACTGTTGATAGCTACACAACAAATCAATTAAAAAACATATTAAAGAATAAAGCTACTTCAAAACCACCTGCTATGACTGGTTTAAAAAAAAGTCAACTTGTTGATTTGGTCTATAAGCACTGCAAGTGAATATTACATTAGAATTATTTGTTAAAAATAAAATTACATTACTGAACATGTTTTATAATTTATTTATGCTTACATAGTTGATCTTATTGCTACAAGTAAATATTTAGATGAATAAAGAACCATCAGCAGGACCAAGATGGTGAATTCCAATTAACAAGGCATCTACTAATGTCCAAACTCCTAGTCCACCAAAACTAAAGAGCTTTCCAATACCTTCCTGCCAATGTCCAAGGTAGAATCTATCTGCACCAAAGCCACCGAGCGTTAAAGCAAGTATGAAAGCTGTGCCCCAACGTGTTCCTGCTGTCCATGAACATCTTATTTTCTTTAAGAATCTTCGTTTGCCTAAGCATACAATATCATCAGACACTGTACAGTTGGTCCTAAAATAAAAAAAAGGGAAATTCTTAATTTCTGGATTAGTTACTCAAAATGCAGTTATTAAGACTACTTACAAATAAAACTTGGTGGGTGAAGCTAAAGAATTGCAGTTAGCTTTTAGATCACATCGATGTTCCCATTTTTCAGTTTGATAACAAAATCGACACATGGCTGTTTTGTTGAAAGTCTTTGAGCCCTTGATGAATAAATTAATATAATGATTATGTAAATATTGTAATTGAAAATAAATGGTAACTATTTCATATATACCTACATTACATATGATTTTGGGTTTTACAACACATGTGTAATTGCAAAAGCTGCCATAAACACAGTCTATACTTCGGTCACAAATGATGCATGGATAATTAAGTGCAGCACAATCAGGAACTTCTTGATCAACCAAAGGGCAACTTTTCAAATATTCATCATTACCACTGAAATTAACACCTTTGTCACCAGATTCTTCCTTTAATTTACTTTCTTTACTATGTAGATCCATGTTGTTATTGGCTAAAACAATGCAAGTTATAAAGTGTGATAAATATAAGGCTATAATCATTAATTTGTATCAAAATACTTACCCATATCTGTTACATGGATAGTATTCAAAATTAACAATAGTATTAAAACGATGCAATCCCTAACAGTCATTCTTAGAGGTACGACCCTCGTCATTTTTAATATTAGTTAAGCTTACATTGCACACAGTTAATTTAATTATTATGCATTTAATTTTTTTTCCCGTTGCGCCACTCTACAACAATTAAATCAGTTTCCAGTTTATAAAAGTACTCTGTGAATTAAAGTCAATGTCCATCTTTTCATCTAAGTTTTCAGGTTTTCAGGTATACATTATACAAAAAGTACTCTGTGGTCCATCTAGCTTGCTACCATAGAGTATAGAGGTAAGGAGGACAATCTCTCAATAGGAGAATAGTTGAAAACATGGAGGTTAGAGAACAGGAGAACGATTGCTATACTCTATTCCAATTATGAAGTCCCTTTTGACACTTCTTAGAACTTAAACCTTCACGTTTCGTATAATTTGAAATAATAATGCAATTTTTTGCTCATGTTCGTAAATTCATCATTTAAAAATGCACAATAAATCTAAATCATTATACATTTAATTCACACACACGCAATCAACATATTGTTTTTAGACATCGTGCTCAAAATAATTAAAACTTTAAATAATAATAATATTTTACTGCCGTTTTGCGTTTATGTTCTATAGTTTTATTTTTACTTTTTTACATAGTGACGTGACTAAAAAAATCGTATAAAATCGATTATAGACAGATTCCTTGCGTGAGTGGAAATCTGTCAACACTGCGTCCACCCCGTGATCACGACCGCCCATTTTGTTTGTCTCTTCAGTACGAGTGCAGAAGCCTTGTATACGATACGCGTGTTCAGTTTAGTTGATTTTGTGTTGTGTTTTTATTTCGTTCTTGTAATTGTAGTTATAACTGTTTGATAATTCTTTCGTTGTTATTAAGTTTTGACTGTTATTTGTTTTTTATAATGATTTCTTAAATTTACGCGAACACTACACATTGAATAAAACTAAATTTACGGATTTTATCGCGTTTATTTAACTGATTTTACTTATTTTTAATTCCCGACGTTTCGAGTGCTTTACAGCACCCATGGTCTCGGGGGGACTGAGATGTTTGACGTCCCAATGTCATAGTTAGCCCGGCTACCTTCAGTTTTTTAATATTATTTTTTTTTGATAAAGACGCCATTAGAAACCATATCTATGGCTACTATAGTAGGAACGAATTGCCGACTCTCGATAAATTGTCAAATACTTTACGAGAATCTGGACTGTTTCACGGTAGTAGAACTTCTTTTTGGAGGGTTTTAAAAAATGTTGGCTTTTCTTATAAAAAATGTGATAAAAGGCGGATTTTGATGGAACGTAGAGATATAGCTTTAGCCAGATTTAATTTGCTAAGATCAGCAAAGTCCATTGCCGTTTGGAGTAATGTTATATTTCTAGATGAGACGTGGCTAAACGCTAATCATACAGCTGGCAAGATATGGACAGACGACACTCCTCACTCCTCCACAAAAGTATCTAGTGGCAAAGGCGAACGCTTAATTATTTGTCATGCGGGTTCCATGAAGGGATTTGTTCCGAACTGCCTCTTGGCATTTAAATCTAAGAAAACTGTGGAATACCATGAAGAGATGAATTTTGTAAAATTTAAGGAATAGTTTTGTACCTTATTGACCAACTTGAATGAGCCATCGACGATCATTATGGATAATGCACCGTATCATCCAATACAATTAAGTAAGTCTCCAAATTCTAGCAGCAAAAAAGCCGATATTGTGAAATGGCTGAATGGCAATAATATTGTTGCTGACATGTCCATGTTAAAAGTTGAGCTGCTGCATTTGGTTGCTATAAATAAGCCAGCTAGACCAAAATACGTATTGGACGAAATGGCTAAGGAAGCCGGACACAATGTAATGCGCTTTCCACCCTACGATTGTCAATACAATGCCATAGAATTGATTTGGGCGCAAATTAAAGGCAAGAATTTAAACAAATCTTTTTTATAATTTATTTTTACCTATTTTAACATTTTATCTGTTGTTATATTAACAGGCAAAGCTTTATTTTAGGTTATGCGGCTCGTAAAAATACCAGCCCACCATTTACTGCAAACAAAATGCTGTCATTGTTGCAAGAAGCTTGTGATAGTGTTACTGCCGCGAATTGGGAAAGTGTGGTTTTACGAACAAAAAATTTGATTTTCACTGATTGGGACAGAGACATAATTATCGACGCCGTCATAGATAACCAAATTATAATAAATACATGGGATTCTACAGACGATGATAAGGGTGATGACTACGATGCCGACCATGTAATATCGATTTCGGCTAGTGATGATCAATATGTTCCATCTTGATAAAAATATCATATAATTATTATCTAGTTAAAATTAAAAAACAGTTTTATAAATTTTAATTTGATGCTAATCCTTTTTCTGTCAATACGATTTTAATTTGTTCGTTATAGTAATCGAAGATCAATATCGTCAAGTATCGACTATAGCGGTACTTTACTAGTACTTGATTATTGACATCTGTCAAATGGGACTTCGTAATTGGAATAGAGTATACGTACTAAAGCATAGCCCGCCTGTATTGTAGAATTTATAGCAGCGCTGCCGTCGGTTAGTAGTGGCTGCGAAGTTACCTGTTTATGAGTACAAATAGATATTAAAGTTAATTGAATAATGTACAAATTATCTTCGGGGCGTTGGTAAGAAAATTTTCATGCATTTCAATTTTTGACAGAAAGAAACATTAAAAAATTGAGAAATATTTTATTGTGCGTCGATGTGCAAGTGGTTTAGCATCTAAACGGAAAATTAAACTGAAAATGACTTTTATTGAGCGAACTTAGCGATCGCAGCGCCTCACTTATGGTGTCTATATTTCTGGGACACTATTTTTTACGGCGATCGTTTTCCTGTTCTCTAACCTCCATGGTTGAAAACGTGTCCATCCGTAAGCAGTAAATAACAGTTCGAACTCTCCACTACAGCGTTCGAGTTGCTACAGGGTATGATAATTCGCCGTAAAATGCGTTGAGAGTGATTTTGAAAATAAAAATGTTTAAAGCAATAAAATAATTATTATAAAAAGAATTATGGTGAAAGTCTGTGCAATAAAACATCATAAAAAGTTTTTTTTAAAATTTACACCGGAGCTGCAGTGGCGCCGTCCTTATTTAGCGCTTTTCTACGGACACTTTTTATAGAGAGTCTGTACTCCTTACCTCTACTCTCCATACTTGCTACTGTACGATATTGTGTAGTTCGCGAACGATGAACGATTAGGAAACGTATCTTGGCAATGTACTAAAAGAAACGTTTCCGAATGCTGATTGTTAATCCGTCCAACAGCTCTTTTCGTACACCTACACTAGCAAGACGCCAACATCAAACGTAAACGTAACTCGAGAACCCGTCAGTAGCCAATCTAGAACAAGAGCACAAACTAATAAGAAATACTAGCGTAGACAAGAGCCAATGAATGCCTCTCTGATTCTGTAAGTAACTAACTGAGATTACCATTCCACACAGATAAATACAATTTAAACAGGTTATTGGTACTGATTACGGAATAGAGCTAATAGAACTAATAGAACGAACTAGTTCATTGTTAGAAATGAACTAAAACGGAGCGACGTTTAAGATGACTGAGCAGGCACAAGACTACTGTACGATATATTACTTTCCTCTATGCTTGCTACATATAACATATCCATTTATTTATGATAATGCTATAGGTAGCTATACATGTAGGAACTAGGACATGGGTGTATTTATAATTTCATTTTCTTCATGGATTATAGAGGTAAGGAGGACACTCTATTATCTAGATGTTAGTGCTGTTAGTCTATGCGACTCTTACAGCTTCATCTTGCCCTGAGACGCTAAAGGCGTTAAAAGACGCTAAAGGCTAAAAGGAGGACATTATACCCCTATTACATTTATACCCCTATTACACTACCCTGAATCAGGCTCTCTACGCCCTGATTCGGGGTGGTTTAATAACAGAAAGGGACTAAGGGTAAAAAGAAGAAAAAAGTAATTAGGGCGTCAAAGTGTACTCTGTCTGCAGTGCCCTTCCACCGTGCAGTGTAATAACACTGAGGGAGTTAGGGCACTTATTCGCTGCGCGACTAGGGATGCAAAGGATACATCAATTCTTTCAAACATCGATATAACATTCATAAACATGGTTCTTTATGAGCTATGTTTTATGAACGATGTTCTGCCGTCAAAGGTTACGAAATAACCAACAATTCGAAGGTATAAAATTACGTATGTTAAAAGTTGCGAACGATGATTATCACGAATTTTATGTTGTCGAAAAATAAATATTCGAAACAAAATATGTCAAAGTTAGATAATGTCTAAATTTTCAAAGTTAGAAGGTTTACTAGTATTTATCAGAAATAACTCAACCCTGAAAATTTTAATAACGAATTATCAAACAAGCGAATGGTCTTTCAGCCGATAATAAATATACTTGAACTTCAGACGTACAATTGCCTTCTATCAGTAATTCCATTTTCGATGTAAAATTGTAGTTATTTATTGTGATAATTAATTAAGATAAGTTTACAAATACTGAAAATGGATTGAAATTGTTTTATTCATTTTCTTATTAATAATTATATTGTTTGAGCTTTAACTTAATGAACAGCTTAGGTACAGTCTTATAAGTTAATAGTTATTTTGTAATGGAAATTATTTTATCAACTTACGGTACTTCGTATTTCGTTACAATCATTTTTCTGAAATATTGATTTTATGGATGAACGGTTATTCACCTGTTTGTATTTTGGTATAGTTTCGTTGATGTAATCAAAAATGCGATAATACTGACTGCGGTAACTTAAGGAACTACCATAAATAATTAACGCACCACATCATAAGAAATAAAATTGAAGCAAACACGAGTTTCATATATTACATGTGGGATATCATGAAAGGGTTATTTCGCGGGCTTCATGGTCTAGATAAGATCTATTTGCCTATTATGGCAAC